GACAAATGATGAAAAAGGCAAGAGCCCATGAAGAGTGATAGCAGAATGGAGAGAAAAGACAGGGAACTGGGAGTCCATTGGGCATTGAGTATACAGTATAAGTGCAATAACCAATGGTCAAAGAAGTGGGAGACCCATGGGGCCCAAATAGAATAGAATTTCGCTATCGTACTGTGTAAAAAAACACTACTCTTTTGGTGTAGAATGGTCCAGGTAACACACGTTTAACCTCATGAAAATTAAGAGTTGGTGATTTCCATAACCTCAGTAGCTTTGATGCAGGGAACACATGTTGACGGAGTTTAAATTGATTGCTGGAATGTTGTTTCTACAGCCATAGGTGCAACAACCTTTCTCATAGAATTGGCACTGAACAACATGGATATTCCCTAACAGGTCCACAGCCACGACTCCAGCCTAGGTGCAGGCAATAAGTGCGCAATAACTTTAGATTTAGATTGTGGGCCCTCCTGACCACCTTCTCTTGAATTGTGATTGTAATGTCTTCCTTATATTGTAAAGCGCTGCGCAAACTGTTGGCGCTATATAAATCCTGTATAATAATAACAACTTGTAGCACCACAGTTCTAAAAGTGTCGCACTCCAAGAGTCACCCCCAGAAATAAAATCTTTATTCGAGGAGCAAGAAAACACCTTTGATTCCTCTAACACATTTCACCATTACAGCTTACTCATGGCCTTCAGGAGGCATAAATTATGCATCCGATTTCCTGATAGAGATATTTAAAGAAGAACTCCAGGCAAAACTTTTATTAATCCCCACACTGCAAGAGTTAACCAGCCATGTTCATCTAGGTGCTAAAAAAAAAGTTATATTTACCAAATCCTCAAAAGCCTGCTTGCTCTTAGAGAGCTCCCTCTACAGCCTCTCTTCTTCTCCTTCCTGCAGCAATGGTATGTCCCTCAGTGTCTTCACGTTCTATACACAGTGTATTACACATAATGGTTTCCTTAGACTGCTGCAGTGAAGGGGCAGCGAGGCTGGAAGGACCAATTTAAAAGTAAGACGACTCCGAAGATCGGGCAAGTATAACTTTTTTTTATTTTAGCACCTAGATGAAAACAAGCAGTTCACCTTTGCAGTGCAGGGGTAACCCTACGGCATGGGTTAAGAAACATTTTGCGCGGAGTTGAACTTTAAATTTTATTATAAAGAAAACTTATTTTTTTAAATAAATGTGCATTTGGTGTCCTTGACACTGGAACTGGATAACACTTGCACTGACTAACAAACGACAATCTCAGCCTCCTTCCAAACATTAGCGTTTTTGCGAGCGTACACACACAAAACCCAAAAAGCATTGCATTTCTATGGGGCTAGTTTGCACACACCCACAGACATGCACAACACAC